ATGGGACGAAAGTAGTACATATCATCGATAAATGAATATAATACACATATAAAGTGACGGAATTTTGGATCTTGTCATATACTTATAAACAAGAGCCTCCATTAACTAGAGAGGAGAGAATGTATACTAATTAATTAAAGTATGTAGCTACATGCACACACATATAGATAGATAGATATATACATACATGTGGTCCAGTGTCGGCGCTAGCTCTAATAGTATGTAGAAAAGTAAAGTCAAGAGTTACGCTGCTTGAGAAGTTCACACCAAGCTATCTACCTTTAATTTGGTTATCTCAAAATCCTAGCTATCTAATTACGCTCATTTAAAAGTCAAATTTACCTATAATAGTGTGTAGGACTGTGTCTCAACTCTACAGTCTTTACAAGTTCTTGTAGGAGACCAATAAAGGCAATCCATGACTAAATTAACATATCATTAAAATTGATATTAGGAACTAAGAGAGTGTTTGAATCTGATTCTTAAAACTACTTCTGCTCCTTCATGGACTAGAAACAGAATTTGGAATGTTTGGGTGAAAGTGCATAAGTACTTCTGGTACTCTAATTTACTTACAGATGCCGTCTTTTTAGAAGTTGGGGGATACCAATTTCAAAAAACTGATTCTGATCATACTTCTGCTTTAAAAAAGAAGCAGAAACATATATAATCAGTTCCAAACACCCCTACACCTAGGTAACATGTATCCTTGATTTACCGAAACGTAGGACAGTTCAAAGACATGCATCGAGTCTAATTGAAACTTGAAATCTGTAAACTTGTGATGTAAATAATACAGTAGATAAAGGTTCAAAGGCTATACACCGACTAATTTTCGTTCATGGAGGGATAATTAGACTTAGCTAATAATGGATCGAGCTTAAGTGGTCATTTGTAATAAGAGTACTTTTTGGTTAGGCCAATATGGAACGAATGAAGTTCTTCCAACAACAACAACAACATCCAAGCCTTAGTCCCAAAAGATATTGGGGTCGGCTAACATGAATCGATACATGATATCACAATCAAAAGGAAAAGAAGGAATAAAGATAAAAAGATAAGCTATTATGAAAAGATAATATAAAAAAGATGAATATATATATATATATATATATATATATATATATATAAATGATAAAATAAAAAGGTTGCAAATAATGCTTATAAATATATATATATATATATATATATATATATATATATATATATATATATATATATAAGGATAAAAAAACTAGGAAAAAAAAGATGAGGGAAAAAGATTATCAACAAACGAAGTTCTTCCACGTGAGAAAATTAGCACAAAGTGGAAAATAATTGTTCAACACCTTCTTGTAAAAATCCTTTCATCCACTTAGAAAAGTAAGTGGTGGCCGAACAAGCCCGAGGGCAGAGGGGCTTATGCATTGACGATAACAGTGATATATACTACCTATACCGTTTTTACGAGAAAAGAACCAATTGTTCGAGAATTCTAGAGCATTTGGCTTTATAAAAATGTTTTTAATCAGACTAATTTTTTTGATCTAGTCTGATCTAGTTTAGTATGAACTGATGTAGTTTGATTCGACAAATATCTAGTCTCTATGTATTTAATAATTGTGTCTTGATCAAGTATGTGATTGAAAATAGTCCAAATAAAAATATTTTAAATCTTTACTGTATTTCATTGAATGATTTGACTCTCTTGATCCACCCATGACCTATTCGCCCATACTAAGGAATATTTTAAATTAGATTGGATTAAGGATTTAAGATGGTGTGTACTTTGTTTATGTTTGGTTTGGTATGGGTCTGCCCTATAAAGGTGTGATATTATCTGCCTTTTGATATTATTTAAGTATGATCTAGTCTAATCTCTTTAAGTTTGCTCAATTTTGATGTGATTTAGTTTGTCTTATTTGGTATGAGATGACCCAATCCAAGTGAACATATCATGATATATCATGATATGATCTTAGCTTGTAAGATATAGTATTTTGTGTTCTTCTATATTGTCTAGTTTCATATGAACATATTGTTAAAAAGGCTACCTTAATTGTTCGTTATACTAAAAATTAAAGATGGGTCCCTTGCCTCCGCCATAATAGAAAATAATATTCCCTTTGTCTCATAAAATTTGGTCAAATTTGACTTGTGCATAGAAAAATAAGTAAAAACCGTGTGATTGAGTTTTGGGCAAAAGTGAGAGAAATAGATTTATTATTTTAAATGGACTGGAAATGATATTTTTTTGAAACGCCTAAATAAAGAAAGAAAAAGTCCTTCTGTACACGCCAATTACACACCCCGGTTTGTTTAATTTGTGCATAGACATTTTCTTAAAGTAAATTATTTGTGTCACAATCAATTTTTTTATCTCTACCACAAACATTTTTTTATCTTTGATACAATGTACTCGCTTTAAAAAATGAAAAAGAATTTTTGTATGCATAGATAAAACATGGCATGTAAATAGCTTAGCTATACAATGTGTAAGCTTTTGACGTGTACACGAACCCGCGGTACTAAAGAAAATTGACGATCGGTGGACGTAGCTCAACTGGTAGGAAGGGAGTGCCACAAGGGTTAGATCCTGGGTTCGAATCCCGGCAACTGCGATGAGGGGTTACTATGCTAAAAAATGCATAGGGACTCTGCAAGTACCGGGGACAGAGCCTCACTCTCTATCTGTCAGATTGGGATTATAGTCCAACTTACATCCTCCCAACGTACCGTCCGGTCGGGGTTGGGGGGCCCTCAGGGATGGGGTGTCATCCTTTTTTTAAATAAAATTGACAACAGTTTAATTGTGTCGGGAAAAACTCCGAACTTTCCCGCTTCGTGAAGTTAAGATAGGTACTTAGGAACTAAGTTAGTAATGGGAGCACACGGGTTAAATTTTCCAATTCGGAGATTCTTCTACTATACAAAAGAATAGTAGGATTTAAAAGGATGTTTTTACAAAATTATCTCACTCTATGGTGGCTCACTCAAGCTTGATGATAGAAACTTCTCAAGCTTACTCTCTTCTCTCTCAAAGAGGCTCTCTAACACTCTAGCTCCTACTCCTACATATATACTATTCCACCTCCATAATGAATGATGGAGAGTAGTCCTCTAGAATGTTCTACACATACCTACATATTTTAGAAAATTCCAAAGAATCTTTGCACCTCTTCATTCCTTTTCATATGCTTCCATACTCTTTTATAAGATTCTGGAAGGTTCCACACATTTCTAGAATATTCTAGAGGACTCCACATTATTTCACAAGCTTTTAAAGAGTTCTAGACTTCTCTAGAATTCTCATGAACATTCTAGAAAATTCTATACTTTTCTAGAAAGATGTAGAATTGTCTAGAACCTCTCAAATTAAAAAGAGATCCCAACATTTTATGAGACACGTATAAACGTATAGTAGGACTAGGAGTATAATTTTTTTAGTAGGACTAAAAATTGACAAACACATCGGATCACATTTTAGTTCTTAGAGCGATTATGATTCTTGTTTCCGTGAGCTGTTTTAATTTGAAATGAGAATACATCTTAAAATTTCCTGAAATGGACGAGAAAATCGAATAATTTATGGAGCTATACCCAAAAAGATGGAAAAGCTTCGGCGCACGTGCGACAGATCTTTTACGTGCTTGCTGTCTGTTTCTATAATTTGATGTCTTCTATTGTGGCGGGTGTTGACATAAAGTGAAAATAGATTTAAAGGGTTTTCTAAAATATTACTGGTATTAAAATAGAAAATGTAAATAAAAATGGGATTAAGTGATTATGCCTATTCTTTTATAATTATTTTAACGTATAACTTAATCATAATTATAATCACTAAAAGTTCTTATGCCATATTTTATCTTCACTACATATTTTATTTTGGTCATATATCAAATACATGCATAGTAACTCCCTCCATTTCTAAAATGAAGTCACACTTTTTTATTTGGCAAACAAATCAATATCAAAATAGTGTCAAAACAATGTATTCTACAGTAAAATTTATCTCTCAATAAAAAAAATTTCTTAATAAGTGTGAAATCAAAGTGTGACTTTGATTTAGAAATGGAGGTAGTAATATTTTATAAAATTATTATAACTAGTGTGAAAAATGAAAAATTACAGAAATACAAAATAGGAATTTGAAAAATAAAAAACTAAAAGACTATGTAATACACAAGAAAGGGTAGATAATATACCAATAGTGAGAACTGAGAAGTCCTGAAGTAGTGTATTTTGAATAGTTGACATGCATGGTTATAGTTGAATAGATAAAAATTTTGTGATTTAATTATATCTGGTTCGAATCAATTTGGTGCAGTCTGGTCCAATTTTCTTAAACCAGACCATGTCTGATGAAATACGGAGTATATTTTAACCTTATTACTTTTTGTAAGTTTAATTTGAATAGTAGCTGAACACCTTATTCAATTTTTTAAATAAAAGACCAGGAAATAAAATAATAAATAAGCAATAATGATAGTCTTATATAATTTTAAGAGAAAAAGACGAGAAGAATACATAACGGTAGCATAACTATCATCACACTGCACCCAGTGTTCTAAAAGGTGTGGCGGGTGGCAAGGCCAGGGTCGGCCTTGGGGGTGTGCAGGATGTCCAACCGCACATGGATCAAAAAATTGGAAGGGCCCAATTTTTTTTGTAGTAATATACTAGAATTACTTAGAGGTGGAGTGTATATATAGGAATGAAGGAGTAGTAAATCCTCTATTTCCATCGGTGTGAGAATCTTAAGCTTTAGAAACTAAAAAGATAAGAATTGAGGCATGCGGGATTCGAACTCAGGTGAAAATAAAATCATGCACGTTGATCTCTAAACATCAACCGACTGGAACGAATCAACTAATTGTTGAAATAAGGACGTACAAGCTTTATATTACCTATTTGTTGAAATAAGCTTTATTTGCATTTTTCTCCGTTAAAAAAGTTTTAGGGAACAAGGAAGAAGATGCCAGGTACATACAGACACTCAGAGACAGTATATCACACTCATTACTCCCCGTTTCACTTCATCTCTCTCGCACTTGCTGCACGACACACGAAGTGAACGATACTCATCATTCTTTCCAAGTAAAGTGAGAAAAAAAGAAGAAAAGTAAATTAAAAGCAGTCATCCAACAGTTCTTGTGATTACTCTAAACCCTTGAAATGCTTTTGCTTCCTCTGCGCCGAAGAGAAAGAGCAAACAACAAGAAGTAGCATATCCCTCTGCCACTGCCACCACTCCACTGTTATTCAAACTCCATTGTTTTCTTGGATAATAATAAGGTTCCCTTGCAAGGAAGCCGAGCCTTGGTTTTCTGCTCTACTTGTTTCCCCTGGCGCCAACTTTCATAATTTTATATATTCTTGCTTTGCTTCAAGATTACATTCTTTTGGGTTAGAGAGTACTGTTAACTCTCTAGGAAATGGGAGAGGACCATATGGCATTAGTTCCTTCTGACAGAGCTGTGGTTCAGGTCTTCACCTTTCCTGTCTTCCCATTTTTTGGCTTTGCATTTACTCTGCAATTTTTAGATTTTTTTACTTTTTTTGGGGTTTTAAGATTTCAATCATTTTAAAAAAGATTTTCAATCATTTAATAATATCAGTGTAAGAATGAGTGGCATATGATGTGATGCATTAGGAACATCTTGATGCTATTTGACCCCTATTAGAATTTGAGTGCAAAGTTTTGAAATTTGCTCGTTGTGTTCCTGTCTATATGCCGTTATCATTATTTTCTATTTTCGTGTTATGACTTATGGCCCTTGCTGTTAGAATCAAAACTATTTTTTTTTGCTAATCTTTTGGTTAATTTCTGATATTAAGAGTGCTCTGTATTAAAGGAGTACTTTACCTTGCCAAAAAGATCTGCATAAATTTCACTATATGCTGCTCATATTTAAATTAGTATTAGTGATTAAAACTTATCTACTTAGAAACTAGTCTAAAAGTTGAAATCTGAAAATTGCGACAAGTGGATACTCAAAATTAGAGAATAAAAAGTAGAGTGTTGACAAAAAAGTTTTTTATTTTTGAAAATCATTTTAGGATGGAGGAAGTAATTTTTGTTGATCGGTTTATTCTTCTGTCTTGACTGCAAAACAATAAAGTTAGCTATTTTATACGTAGTAATTGTTTTGGATTTTATAATGCATTAATGCAGGTCAGGTGTGTTTAACTGCATTTGCTAATGTCAATGTTTATGAATAACAGATAAAGCTAAAAGTTACTGCTCTGGAGAAGAAAAATCATCACACTTAACTTTGAATTTTCTTTTCGTTCAAACTTTGTGCAGGCACTTGTTGTGTTGAAGAAGGGTGCTTATCTTTTGAAGTACGGAAGGATAGGAAAGCCCAAGTTATGCCCTTTCAGGTTATCTGAGGTAAATGATTTAATGGATAACTTGTTTCGCTTCTGAATTGCTTAACATGTCTGTTTTCCTTTGTATAATGCATTTCTTGAGTAATAAAATTATTGGTTTCTTCCAAGTCAATGAAGAAATCTTCATTGTTCGATAAAATCACAATGTTGTAAAATGTGGAGTCACTTGTGTTCCACTATGGCAGTATGGGCGATGTTGTAAAAATACCTTTGGTGCCAACTAGGCAATCAGATTGGCGCCTAACACCTATTTGGGGGTTTATTGGTGTTATGCCTGATCTAATCTAAGCGCAATAAGGCTTAAGCGGCAAAACAGTAGAAGATTTTAACATTGATCAATGATACGAAAAAGAGGATTGCAAAGGTGAAAGATGAAAGATGAAAGAGGGGCTGCATTTATTTTTTGTTACCTTAAATGCATTTTTTACTGGAGCTGCAGGATGAGAAGATGTTGATTTGGTATTGTGGCGAAAAAGAAAAACATCTGAGGTTGAGTTCAGTCACAAATATAATTCATGGCCAACATGCTGTAAGAAATGAAGCTTTTTCTCATTTTCCTGTAACTGCTATGTTAAAAAAATCGCGGCCAACCTTTTCTGTTGAGTTTGTGTGTATTCATGAGGATTTTGTGTTTGTGTGCCATGTTTAATCTACAGAAGAATCTAAATCTGGAAAGAGAAACTCAATGCATTTCACTTGTCTATGCTAATGGCGATCACTCTCTAGATCTGGTAATCTTTTTAAAACTCATATAAAACCAATAATAATTAAATGAAGGATGCATCTAGGAAGATGTTTTCATTTTCTTCATTATGTTAATCATATCAAGGTTAATGCTTTACTTTCCTTTCTCACTTGTTATATATAGATATGCAAGGACAAAATTCAAGCTCAGGCGTGGTTTTTGGCCTTGAAATTTGTCATATCCAGGAGTCGCTATAGGCAGCCGTTGGGAACTCCCAAAAACAAACAAGGGGTTCAAAGTTGCATTAGCAGTCCAGCTAGTTATATTCGGAGGAGACAGAGTCTAGGAGTTTATCCAATGAGCACTATAAAATTATCTCAGGTAGTCAACCCTCAAATGATGGAATGGAGCCAAAGATTCATTATTTTTTGGCTTGAGATTATGATGGAATAAAGCAAAATGGCTCACTAAACTGTCTGCGCTTCTTTGTTATGGAGCAGCAGTCAGTCCATGCAATCTTAGACGCGATTTTCACTATGGGTCATCCGGAAACAGTCTCTCTGTGCTTTAGTACAGGGGTAAGACTGCGTACATCCGACCCCCCCTTACCCCACCGTAGGTAGGAGCCTTTGTGGCACTGGGGTAAATGAAAATGATAGTCAACCCTCAAGAGTGAAATGATTTTTGCCCTTTTTCTGATTGAGACATGTTTTATGTGAATACTGCTAGAAAATGAATTAATTGTGGTTTTTTATGAAATGAATTAGTTGTGATTGGTAAAGTTGAGTGATAGAAAGTATCAGCTTATATATGGAGCTGAAACTGGACTCTTTATTATGTAGTTCAACTCATAGACAAAAGCAAGTCTTTTTTGATAGGATGATATTCAAGTTGCCCTGTCTTCTTTTAGGAAAATTCCTTAAATGTTACTTATTGAATAACTACTGGAAAAAGTTTTAATTTGTAATTTTTGGACAAAAATGTTGTTAACGCAGTAAGTAGCACAGTTGACTTTGGGTAACTGCGTTGATGACATTTATGTCCTAAATATTTAAAATTAACATTGTTTGTTCAATAGGTATTTAATTAGTACTATAATATTTAAGGAAAATTATCTTTTTATTTTTTCTTTTCTTTAGTTCTTTTCGCCTGTTAAACAGACCCAGTGTCTGACTTGCCGCCACTTCTGGAACAAAACAGAATTCAAAGTAGAAGAGTTCAAGTTTTCTCAAGAATATGGATCCCTTTTTCCTGAATTTCCATAGTTCCGCTTTATATATTCATTTGTAGGAATGCAATATTTGCAATGTGCCTTTATATGATGAGAAGCACAATCACTCTACCCCCATCTTCACCGTAGGACCTGAGAAATTTATCCTTTTTAATTGAAGGTACAGAGCTGGTCAGGAAGTCCTGATCAGTCATTTTCAGAGAAGGGATATTCAGATGGCTTATCACGTGACAGCTTCTTTTCTGAACTAAGTAGTACATCATGTATCCATAATGCATTGAGTTCTGGAAACTCAAGTTCACCATATGTTGAGTCAGACAGTTCAAACAAGAGGGAAGCAAATTCTGGTCTGGAAGAGATTCAAGACGATGTGCTTAAACTGCTTGACACATCAGTCAATCAGTCTGCACAATCAGCTAATTATGTACTAAGAGATGTTTTTATCTGGGGGAAAGGAGTAGAAGGAGGTTTTTTAGGGGGAGGGGTAACAAAATTAGATGCATTATTACCCAAGGTTATTGACTCAACCGTCATGCTTGATGTGGAAACGTTATCCCTAGGTCAAAATCATGCCTGCTTAGCTACCAAACAAGGCGAAGTCTTTTCCTGGGGTGAAGGAAAGCACGGAAGATTGGGGCACAAAGTTGACATTGACTCTCCTTACCCCAAAATGATTGAATCCCTTAATGGAGTTCATGTGAAGTCTGTGTCTTGTGGTGAATATCAAACATGTGCTCTCACTGCCACTGGTGAACTTTATACATGGGGTGACAATTTTTCTGGTGCCAGTCCAGATAGCGAAAATAGGAAAAAGAAAGGTCCTTGGTTGCCATATGAAGTTTTCAGCTCCCGTCTGGATAACATTAAAGTAGCATCTGTTTCTTGTGGAGAATGGCATACTGCAATTATCTCAACTTCTGGTAAATTGTTTACTTATGGAGATGGAACGTTTGGGGCACTTGGCCATGGAAACACCAATTCCCTTCCTCACCCAAAAGAGGTTGAATCCCTTAGAGGCTTAACGGTCAAATCTGTAGCATGTGGATCATGGCATACAGCCGCGATTGTTGAAACTGTAGAAAATCATGGTGAGCCTAACCATTCGGTAGGGAAGCTGTTCACATGGGGTGATGGTGATAAAGGAAAGCTTGGTCATTCCGATCAGGATAAGAAACTTGTACCAACATGTGTTGCCAAGCTTTCCGAGCAAGACTTCTTTCAAGTTTCTTGCGGCACAAGTTTGACGGTCGTTCTATCTTGCAATGGAAAGGTTTACACAATCGGAAGCCCACAAGGAAAAGATGATAGATCAATAACTGTTGTACAAGGGAAACTTAAAGACGAGTTTGTCAGAGAGATTTCATCGGGATCTCACCATGTTGTTGCCCTATCATCAAAGGGCAATGTCTATGCTTGGGGAAGAGGTGGATATGGACAGTTAGGACTAGGTGACAGGAAAGACAGAAATTTACCAAATCTGGTTGAAGCCCTACTTGATCAACAGGTCGAACATATTTGTTGTGGGCCGAATTCTACAGCTGCAATTTGCTTGCATAAAGCCATATCCAGAAATGACCAATCTACTTGCAAAGGGTGTAACTTGGCTTTCGGCATCACTAGGAAGAAGCATAATTGCTATAACTGTGGAGCATTGTTTTGTCGCACGTGTTGTAGCAAGAAGTGTACGAATGCATTCCTGGCTCCCAATAAAAGTAAACCTTCCCGAGTATGTGACCCATGTTTCAACCAACTTCGGAGGAATGCTCAGTTAGGGATGTTACCGGAACGTCAAATTTATAGCCCGAGAACACCTTCTACGACTAGGTCATATATAGGGGAAAAGGATGAAAGGGAACAAGTGAGTACTACATGTAAAATGACCACTAGAAGAAAATGTTTTAGTATGAGCAGTCAATTGCATGAAAAGAAGGCCCAAAATCATCAAGAAAAGGATCAGAATATGAATTTGATTTCTTCTTGGCTGGATTTTCCAAGATGGGGACAAGTTCATTGTCTCAAAGGTTTCAAACAAATATAACAGAACAAAAAACATTCCACCCAACTGCAAAGGAGCAAGTAGGTCACAATTCCCCAGTTTGGTTCCAAATGGAGCCAAACATTAAGTCTTCTGCTTTAATGCTTCAAGACTGCTCAAAACTGGATGATTTGCTTCTTATTGAGGTTCAGAAACTAAGAAATCAGGTATGCCCTTGGACCCTGTTTTCAATTTTCAATTTTCAAGTGTATAATGTTATCTAGAATTGTTTTTTGCTTTTAGTACCAATCTAAAAATTCCACCAGTTAGCAGTTAGAACTTGCAGCTGGTTGTAAAGATGATATTTGTAGATTATTTTCATACTTGAATTTCTCTATTTTTAAATACGAGTAAAATATAGAGTCAAGATAAAGCTCTATCTTGGAACAGTAAGTACATGTATCAATAGGTATTTTCGTGGCCGGATACTGACACTTCTATCTGTAGTCACTTGGTGGGAATTAAATGGATATCCGGTCTTTCAATTGTGACATGCTGCATAATGTTCTTTTGCAATGAACTCTGAATTTGGAAATTTATTACTTTTTGCTTGTAAACAAAATAGGTTGAGGGTCTGAAAAAGCTATGTAAATTGCGAACTGAGAAAATTCAAGAATCTCAGCTACAACTTGAGGAAGTTTGGCTATTCGCGAAAGCAGAAGCATCCCAGAGGAAAGCAGCACTCGAAGTTATAAAAGCTTTGACGTCAAAGGTAAACTTTTTCCCGAAAAATTTGTTACATATATGGACTAAATTTGAAACAACAAATGAGCATATAAGACTTTAAGCTACTCTTCCTATCCAAGTATTATGGATCAGAGGAAATCCTGTCATTATCTATAACATGGTCTAGATGGGTGTGAGAAAAAAGTGTAGCACGGTCCAAACAAGCTTTCGTGCTGTGATAGATGCCAAAGAACTTGTCAGGTTGACTGTGTAGGATGGAATCCAAGTCATAATACTTGTTCTGTATAAGTAAAGCAAACCACTGACTCACCTCTGCTGTGATTGTCATGAAATTCAAACAAATATTTTTTTTACCGTCAATAAATAGTGAATTCACACCAGTAAATTGCATCCCTTGAGTCTAATAACAAGGAACTCCTCATTAGAGGTAAAACCAAACCAACTGCTGATTGACATTCAATTTGTTGCAGCTTCATGCCATGTCAGAGAGTCCCTCAGGTAAGGATGGTGGACATTCCATTACTGATGGTTCTTGTATTTCTTCTAGGACATTGCGGATCGACACAAGAAAAACAGATAGTCTGTGTAGTTCTCCCATCGTTTTCTCAAGTACCTCAAGATCCTTTTGTAACAAGGAAAACAATGGACAGTCTCTACCAGGAGGCAAATCGTGCAAAACTGAATCGGATTTCGAACAAGCAGGATTGGTAAACTCAGGGCATGAATGGGTGGAACAATATCAACCTGGTGTCTATATTACTATTAGTACATCACAAAGTGGAGAGAAGACACTCAAGCGAGTTAGATTTAGGTAAGCTTCCAAGAGCAGAATTAAATTCTACATACAAAATTATTGCAAATAATAGTAAAACATGAGAATTGTGCTTTAGTACAGGGGTAAGACTGCGCACATCCGACCCCCTTACCCCACCGTAGGTGGGAGCCTTTGCGGCACTGGGGTAAATGAAATGAAATGAATAGTAAAACATGAGAATTGATAGTTTTAATGAAAATTGATGAAAAACAATGATGATCCTGTTTCAGAAAATTTGTTTTGTTTTATATTTATAATAACTAGTGTAATTTGGTCAAGCTGCATCAACTTGGGGATTTTCATGGACTAAATTACTGCTTCAGACTTAGATGACTGGCATTATATTCATTCAACTTCTTTGTTGAACATGCTCCTGATGCTCTTATTGGTTGAGTTTGCAGCCGGAAAAGATTCACCGATAAGGAAGCACAGAAATGGTGGAATGACAACCAGCTAGCTGTATACCAGAATTACAATGCGGACAAATGTTCAGTTCTGAATCAACGCATATAGAAAGATAATTTTAAAAAATTTATGCTATCCAAATGTAATTACTTTCATTTCTGTGTTATGCTCTTGAGTTATGAGCATAGTGATACAACATTACAACCGGTCCTAGAAATCGGTTCATAGTGGTTTTAAATTTGATTTTTTAAATATATTCTTTACTTTAAAAAAGCTTCGAAGTTAATAAACTTTAACAAGTCTATAATATAAAACGTATGTATTGTTTCCATATTCAACACTATTTGTCTAGAAAAGAAAGCAAAGTTTGAATTTAACTATCCATAGTATCCAACTATGGTCCTGACTTAAGGGGGATTCTTTCACAAAAAAAAATCAAGGGGGATTACTTCTAAGATGTCTAATTTATTTGAGTTTAGTCCGTAAAAGTCTTGTAAGATGCATATGTAGGGTTGTAAACGAACTAATTGAGTCGAATAATGAGATTTTGTATTTGTTTAATTTTTTCGAATACGAATTCGAATTCAAATATGACACGGATATTAATTTCGATTTGTATTTGTATTTGTTTAACAATACGAATAGTTAACGAATCATATACGAATATTGAATCGATATGAGCATATGTTAAATATTAGTAGTCAAATATCACTCTAAAATAACTCTTCTTATACTCCTTTTATGTTGTAAATGCATGTTATTACTTAATATGTGTTTTTAGAATTTTAGATGGTGCACATTGTACAACATACTAAAGTGAATTAATTTTTTGATTATTTTGTCTTTTAGAATTAATTCGAACCCCCTACCCCCCAAACACCCCCAAACTGCCCAACCCCACCCACCTAGAACAAGCCCAACCCGAAAAAGTCTACAAAAATTATTTGGGCCCGGCCTGGCTGATCCCCCTATTTCTAAGCCCGTAGCCTGCCTAAAAAAGCCCCCGGTTAGGGCCTCTGGCCCAGTCCCGGTTAACCGGTACGGGTCAGGTCCCAACTCCCAACAGTGTCGAGTCGGGTCCCGGGTCGGGCTGACCCGACCCAATTCACCCCTAATTCCACCTCATTTAGTTAGCAGTTATGATTTGGCACTTAAAAGTTCAGTTTCATACAATGGTCTATAAATCAGACAATAGCTTTTAATTCAGACATTAGTCTCCCTGCTCTAGCTTGTAGTGCCAAATATAGCTTAGGCTACAAGCAATGGCAGATTCAAATGGGGTAGTTCTGGTCATCAATTCAATCCTTGTCCAATCCCCTCTCTCTCTCACACACACACAAACACACACACATATGAAATAAAAATTACAATTGCCCGTCTTGTTCATACCATTGTTTTATCCTAGGGAGGGAAGGTTCGTCAGTTTGATGTGAAAAATGCTTTCTTTCATGAGTATCTGATTGAAGAGGTGTACATGCGTCAGCTCAAAGGTTTGTTCATCCTGATTTTCCACATCATATTTGTCGTCTTAGGATGTTTTTACTTGGACTGTAATTTGCTGGTCTGGTCTGGTCTGGTCTAGTCTGGTCTGATCTGGTCTGGTCTGAAATTTTATTTTTTATATTTTTTGCATAAAGATTTTATTTTTTATATATATTATAATTCATAAATAATTATATTTTATTCATTTATAATTACAAATAATAATAACAATAACAATAATAATTGTTATAATAATAGTAATAACAACAACAATAATAATAATAATTAGGGGTGTGCACTATCCGCTTTAAACCAAAAAATCGGACCGAACCGGACCGGAAAAACCGGAACCGGATCGAACCGGAATGATATCCGATCCGGTTCGGTCCGGTCCGGTTTTGAATCGGTGCACACCCCTAATAATAATAATACTAATACTAATAATAATTAATAATAATAATAATAATAATAATTAGGGGTGTGCACTAGTCGGTTTAAACCGGAAAACCGGACCTAACCGAACCAGAAAAACCGGAACCGGATCGAACCGGAATGATATATGGTCCGGTTCGGTCCGGTCCGGTCCGGTTTTGAACCGATGCACACCCCTAATAATAATAATAATTATAATAATAATAATAATAATAATAATAATAATAATAATAATAATAATAATAATAATAATAATAATAATAATAATAATAATAATAATAATAATAATAATAATAATAATAAAATATGGTCTGGTCTGGTCTGGTCTAGTCTAGTCTGTTTTAGTCTGGTCTGATCTGGTCTGGTCTGTTTTGGTCTGGTCGGGTCTGGTCTGGTCTGGGATGAATTACAGTCCAAGTAAAAACAACCTTAGAAAAACCTTACATGGTCTCAAATAAGCTCCATGTGCCTGCCATCGTCGGTTCAACAATTTTCTTCTCCAGAATGAGTTCGAGTGTAGCAAATTTGACACCTCTTTGTTTATGGGAGATTTCCCTAAATAAGACTAAATAAAAGCAAAATTGCAACAATAAGAACTTAAAGTTTAAATTACCAAATTATGACTAACTCTTCCTATTCTACCATTTGCCTTGTCATTCTTAATATATTTTTGTAAAATAGTAATATTAAAACATAAAAATTAAAATAAACAACAAAAAACATAATAAATAAATAAAATATATATAGGTCTCAACCACCACCTCAGCCACCTTTCAGCATCGTCACATTCGGTCATCCAAAAAGAATGCCAAGTTGGAAAGCGAATATTATTGTGATGGCAAATTTGAAAAAGAATGCAGGATATTTTCAAAGAATAAAAATGTCTTATATTCATGACAATATCATAGGAATGTGACGGTTTTTACACAAAATTACATTATTTCGCTTATTGGAGCTAGTGACATTGGGAGGTGGATGATGCGGTGGCACTAACCTAAAATAAGGTGCATGCAAACTTAAACTAGGATAAAAATGTGGAGGGGAGGGTAAACTCCCATTTCACGTACAATTTTTTTGCGCGCCAGAAAATTAATTTTATTAGTAAAATCATGGTTTAAAGCCTACATGATACAATTAAGAGGAATTGAGAGCCACACATAGCTGCTTGAGTAAGATTGTGAGCAACACGATTCACATACCACCACATAATAACAACAAAAATGTTGTCAAAATTTTTCATTAGATCTCTAACGTCTTTTACTGTCAAGCTAAACTAAGCAAGTCCACCTCCAATATAAATAGAAGAGACAACTTGAGAAGCATCAGACTCGATGTCAAGAAAATCTCAATGTTTCTACTTCAACCAGCTCAACGTCAAACCCATATAATCTCTGCTTCCTTGGGTGAAATATTCCATCCCAAGGCCGAGCACCTGCATCAATGAACTGACCAGTCGCATCCCTCATCACCCACACTAATCCTCGTCTTCCCTCCCTCCCGGTAGTCGCATCAATGCTTACCTTCATTCGACCCTCCACAGGTTTTTGCCATAACGTTGCAGACCTCATTCCAGCCCGGTTCGAGTTCTCACTACCTTGTTCTTGTGATGCACACTACCCAAATAGAACAACCTCACGACATCAATGATCTGATCGACTCCACAAACTTCATTCAACACGCCAAATCAATCTATTTCATGTACTATTATTTCCCCATATATGTCAGAATACTTAATACTATTATTGGGCAATGGTGGATCTCTTCTTATCAGGGGTGTTCATGTGAACACTCCAAAAAAATGGATACACACACACACACACATATATATATATATATATTAGAGTAATAAGTTCTTTATTAGTATTTAAAAAAATGTGCAATTTTGAACACCCAAAATGTAAATATTATGTTGGCTACTGACACGGGGTGCCATGAAGAGATCTTCAATAATTATAGTTATGTGCATGATTTTTTTCTAAACTTATTAGAGCAGTTGGTGTATTTTAAATAAGGTGATAAAAAAGTGAAAAACAAAGTCGCATATTGTAAACCCGTACAACTGTACAAGCCCAATTACAGTACACATATTTTACAACAATTTTTAAATCGTCTTTTGTTTATTTTCTAATAAACTACCGCACAGTCCACATTGAATTATTGTTTTATACTTTGTATGTTTTAGGCTAATGGTATGTTTGGCACAACTAGTTGAAAAGATACTTTTGTAAGCTTTTTAATAAAATGTGGTAGTTGTTTGGTAAAAAGCTGACTGTTTGATTTAGTTTTGTTTGGTATACAAGCTGTTAAGACTAATTAATACTAAAAGCCACAGACTTTTCTCAGATTCTACCCCATGTAGCATCTCAGAAAAGATCTTTTATTTTTTGAAAAGCTCATAAAATTTGCATGCCAAACATATAACTAGAAGCTTTTAGATACTTTTTAAATAGTATAAAAGCTAGAACGCAGAGATTTATGCCCGCCAAACATGCACTAAGTTGTGACATGCGTCTTTACCAATTCACAAGAGTAAAAATGAAAGTTCGACTTGAGATGGCAGGCCTATCTTTTAATCATATCTGTGAAAGTTTTCTCTAAAACCTACTTCCCTAGTTCCGAATTGAATTGCAATTTGTGAATATTATTATTGAGTGATGGATAAAATTAAATCATATATCAATATAGATAGTTAAATCAGTTTTAATAATTAAAATTTACATAATCGGAAATTACATTGAAAGTCCTAATATGCTTAAATTACATATATCCTATAAAGTCGCAAAATCCAGATTAGCTAGATTATAATAAAAAACTAATGCGCTAAATAAGTATATAAAGTAAAACTGTGTTGGACAAGAAAAGTTGATTTTGCAAATGGTAATACCCCTTCCCCAAAAACATTGTCTCACTCTGTTGGTCATTCTAAAACACACCCACACTACTTGAGTCAGTTGAGTGTTATGTAACTAGGAGTAGTAAGTATTTATAGAGAATCAGAGAAGTTAGAGCAAATTAAATCTGGAGCGAGAAATTTATATAATTAATTTGTCAGAATAATAGGACGATGAATTTCAGCTTCTCACTAGTGGAAATATGGATTTAATAACGGTTTAATCTTAAACTCAAAATGCTAACTAAAGAGAAAATGACAGTCGTCCCTTGAATACTTGGGGAACATGCCTAGATGTTGACATGTTGATGTGTGATGAAATCAGCTCTGCAGGGAAACTACCCATTCATGTCACCGATGATGGTAACCCTTCGAAAACTATGCATATGATGTTATTGGTAGCGGTTGTGATGTAAGCTAAGCCTGGGATGTGCGCATGTCTGTAACGAGCGACGAGATGGCTAAGTGTAGAAACTGTAATCAAGCCAAGGCGGATCTCGGGTTCGCTCAGCCTCTTCCGATCCG